CAAGCTAACCCAGAAGTACAAATGCCTTTGGAAGGGCTGAGAGGCTAGTCATGACATGTCTGCTACATGTCACTGAGATTCTTGAATCCTTCCTTTCTCAGTTGGAGCAGCTCCACTAAAGGACTGTGGGTTTGGGAATTGGGGAAGGTGGGGTGTGGTAGTAAATGAACAATGAATCAGTGATTTGTGAGCATGGAGAAGTGCTGCTGCAGCCTAGGTACTACTTGCAGGCAGCCTCGAGGATGGGGTCACCTAAAGCACTAGAAAAAAACGGACCAAAATGGCTTCTGTGTGTTGAAGGTTGGAAAAGTTGGGAGAACACAAGCCATAAATGGCAGTAATGACACACGCCTATCACAGTTCTCAATGTTTTAGAGACTTTAAAACTGGTTTTCAAAGTGCTCCACGGGTCCCCTGGCGTCCTGAACCTTTGCAAGGGCAAAAATTATTCTAAACTAAAAGGTCATTGCCTTTTTTACTGTGCAGACATTCACACCAATGCTGCAAAAAAAATGGCCAGTAAAACTGCATCTTAGCACAAGTCAGAGCAGTCACACCAAATACTAGCAGTCATTCTCCGCCATTACTATAAAAAAAAATTCATTCTCACAGATACCTTTGGTGAGGCGATACGCGTAGTGAAGCAGCGCTGTGTGGCAAGCACGATCTCCAGCTGCACGCGCTAAGGAGCCCCTTTGTACATTAGAGACTGGCTAACTGGCTACTCACATAAGTGACAAGATAGGGCATTTTCACACAAAAGAATAAAATAAGCCTGTCACTTCCAATGGAACAACTGACAGTATTCTATTTTGTCAATTAAGTTTTAGTTTTTAAGCTAAAATTAGAATTTTTGAACACTCGTATCCACTATCACGCGAGCTTAACATGGTCTCAAGACTTCTGATGAGATTTGTGGTAAAGTAAAAGATCAATTTTTGACATCGCACAATAAAATGTGTCAACATTTGGAAGGTCTGCCCCTTAAACCAGTATTTTCTAAATGTCACTGATGTTACAATATCATGCATAAGTACAAGATCTTTTCAAAGTTGCAAGATGGACCAATGTAACAGAATAAAGTGTATGCAAACTACCCACTGAGTTTTGGTGTAATATTGAAGATGAAATACCCATTTTTATGAAAGGCAGTAGCAGTATGTTTCCCTTTTCCAGCTACGTGCATCTGTGTGTGGCCAGATTTTCTTCATATTCTTCTAAAACAACACATTGCAACAAATTAAATACAGAAGCAGCTATAAGAATCTAACCATCTTCTGTTAAACCAGACATTAAGGAGATTTGTAATGTCATTCTTCTCACGCTTTTTTGTTTTGGAAAATACATTTTCCATAAAAATTATGTTAACATTTAGTGCATTCATTATGTATATAAGTAAATGACTTTTAAGTTTCTTAGTTTTAATGTCTAATAAATGTTAATGAATATAACCCACATGAACAAAAGTTCTTGAGGATCCTCGATAGTTTTATGATTATAAAGGAATCCTGAAACCAGAACATTTGAACTCTGTATTAACACATCAACCACTGTGTCTATTAATAATACATTTAATCCTTGTAATAATCCTAGACATCAAATCCAAGGGACGCTGTATAATTTGAATGTACCACTCACTTCTTGAAATAAACTTCTAACTTTATGAAGTAAATATTTTCAATATAGGCAGCTGAAAATCTGCACTTTGCAACATGTCTTTTTTGTTTCCTTTTGTTTCTGACACAGGATCTTGCTCTGTTACCCAGGCTAGGGTGCAGGGGCGCCATCATAGCTCACAGCAACCTCAAGCTCCTGGGGTCAAGCAATTCTGCTGCCTCGGCCTCCCATAGGCCCATGCCACCACGCCTGCCTCTGTCTCTGCCCCTCCTTCCCCCACAAGGCTAGCTACAGAAACTCGAATCCCTCTTCCCCAAGGCAGGTCAAAGAACCCCTTTTCCCCAAAGCCAGCCATGAAAGCTAAAAATATTACTCTAACTTTCCTCCCTCCTTTCTGTGTAAAAACTAGCCATAAAGAAATTATCCGATCTACCTTATTTGATTACAGATCATAAGACCCCTATTCGAGAGAGGGCCCTGCCCACGCCCAGAGGGAAGGATGCTGCACAGAGAGGCCTGGCTGGGTCCCCACTCACTCTGTTGGCCTTAGATCAGACCCTTTTTGTCCAGCCATATTTCTACATGGCTGTCCATACTTTGTCGAACCTAAGCACAAAAATGGGCAATTTCCCCTGTATCTGTGGGTCTTCATTCTGAAGGCTCCTGTGTCACTATGACTAAATACATTCTGATGCCTTTTCTCCTAGTAATCCTCTTGTCAGTGATTTTCAGAGGCCGACGGGGAATCGTCCCCTCGTCCCTACGCTCGGGCCAGTGAGCCGTGAGAAGTGTCACTTCCGTGTGCGGCCTTGTCTTGGCGCTACCACTCTGCCCTGCAGGGGCTGCGGGAAGGACACACACCGGGGTCTACGCCTGAGGCGTCTGCCGAGTAAAGAAATCCTCTGGGCTGTATTGAGAAAGACCAACCGCAGGGCAGTCACAGGGGACAAAGAGGATCAAAGGACAGGCAACAGGATGAGAATCCTCTGGACTCCGCGTAGACTGGCACGTGTGGGGCCAGTGGTTTCCGGCAGCTTGTGATGTGGTTAGCGCTCCTGGAGAGCTGAATTTCTAATTTAATTTTAGTTAATTTAAATTTAAACACCGAAGCAGCGTACAATACTTTTCCTGCAAAAACAGCAAGAAGACTGTGATGAACTCTGACACATGCAGAGCCGCTCTGGAGCGTGTGCCGCACCCCTTGATGCCGTGCTGTCAGCACAGAGTGGCTCCAAAGCCAGTGGACGCACTCAGTGTGGGGAGACATGGTTTGGAAATGGATACGCTCTTGCTTCAAAGTCAAATCAATTCTAAAAGACAAATAAACCAGTTTTGTCAATGTGGGAGGTGAACTGTAAAGGAAATGACTTTTAGCACTAAACCCAATTACTGGAGAACTTTTAATGTGTTTGGAACAATATGGGTATGTGAATCTACTTATTTTTAACTGTAAATTGTATAGCATCTAAAGAAAAATCAAGTGCTTCTGATGAAAATTTAGCATCTGGGCCAGGCGTGAGGTTCAAACCTGTAATCCTAGCAGTCTGCGAGGCCAAGGCAGGAGGACTGCTTGAGCCTCAGGAGTTCGAGACCAGCCCGAGCAAGAGTGGGATCCCATCTCTACTAAAAACAGAAAAATTAGCCGGGTGTGATGGCCCATGCTTATAGTCCCAGCTACTCGGGAGGCTGAGGCAGGAGGATGGCTTGAGCCTAGGAGTTTGAGGTTGCTGTGAGCCAGGATGATGCCACAGCACTCTAGCCTGTGTGACAGAGCGAGACTCTGTCTCAAAAAAAAAAAAAAAAA